GACCCATAAAAGAGAGAACGAGTTAGAGAAAATGCCTCATTTGGGATCCACAAGCAAACATTTCCGAAAACACTTCATAGACAATGCAAATTACAAACATGCTTTACAAGCTCTGAACAGTTGCACAACAAAGGGTAAAATGGTCAACTACAGACAAAAAATCTCTCACAAGTGTCCATATGACACAACCTTTATTTATAAGCCTAAAGCGGCCACCAACCCAACTAAAATGGGACTGTTAAGCCTTCGACTGTCCCTCTACATGCTGTACAAAGCATGAACATACCAAAAGACACGGACATACATAAGCATTACATCAAACATCCTGTTTAAGAGTTTGTCCGTGACAAACTCTATTTAAAAGACAAGGACATACACAAGTATCTACATGACACAACCTTTATTTACAAGCCTACAACGGCCGCCAAACCTAACTAAAATGAGACTATTAAGCCTTCGGCTGTCCCTCTACATGCTAGACAAAGAATGAACATACCAAAAGACATGGACATACATAAGAATTACACCAAACATCCTATTTAGAAGTTTGTCCGTGAGGGTGGTACCATTGCTCACTCTGGGCGGTACAACCGCCTGATAGTGCTCGAAGACCGAGCTCTAACGATACCACCGCATGACAGCATTAACTGCTAATGGTACTACTGTCCAGTCTGGGCGATACCACTGCCTAGAGTACTTGGGAGACTGAGTCCCAAGCGGCGCCACCGTCGGTCATGACTTCAGGTGCTAAATAGGCTATTCAACCGGCCTAATTCAGTCTTGTTAAAGGCCCAATTGGCCCTAATTGAGTTAGTGGGATTACCTCCCAATTCTAAATTATATCTAACTACGATAATTAAAATATTTAAACAAGCAAACTCTATCTGGTATGTCAATTGATCTCTCGGCAAACTTCTGACGAACTTCTCAGCAAACTTCCGATGAATTTCTCAGCAGTTAACTACTGACGAACTCCCGACGAACTCTCAGCGATCTCCCGACGAACTCTCGGCGAGCTCCTGACGAACTCTCGGAGAGCTTTCGGCAAACTTCCGACACATCATTTGAATCTTCGACGTATCGTCCGATCTTTGACTCCGCCCAACATATGCTTTATGTCTTACTGCTATCATAGTTAATCATGCACACTTATCTCAACATATAGATTAGATCAAATAATTTATTAATTGATTTTATCATTAAAATCCTAGATTCAACATAAATAAATAGGACCTCTAGGGGCTATAGAGACGCATCTCAATGTAGTTGAGAGATTAAGTTTTTCCTCTCAATCTCCCTAATCCATCAATCTAAATAGTCCTGTGAAAGTATAGGAAGAGAGGAGTGTCTAGTTCTCTTTGCGGATTCATAGCGATCTTAGATCTAAAGACAATGCCTTTGTAGATCATACAAAGATCTTCTTTTCAGATGGCATCAAAATGTTCGCATCGTAATATTGTTAGATCTAATTTTATTTGATTTCAATCCTGACATAAAAAATTATTTCCACATTACAATAGTATAATTATAGATTTTATGCTAACACTAGTAACCAAAACCTATCACTTGACCTTGCCATTGTTGTATAAATTGCTTGAACATTATCTGAGCTACAATAAATGATAATAACCGAGAAGAAGTCTACCAAAATTATAGTGTCAATTTAATTGTCATCTTTTTGTTGATTATTAAGGGTTTGCTCTAGTGTCACTGCTATCATAATTTATATCATTTCTGTATTGGTTTTAGCAGGTTCAATGAGATTTAAAAAGGTTAAGAATACTAAAAAGGGCCACCTTTGTAGTTTCAGTCCTATAAGGTATAAGGTAGATTGAGCTTTGTTCACAATTCATCACCCTTACAACCAAACGATATATTTTGCGAGAAGCCACAGTTTTCCTCTGGATAAGAGCAACAGCGGAGAGAAGGCAGAAAATAAGATAAATGCTGAGGAACTATGGAAGGGGGATGAGCAAACTCTATTAAGGAGAAGGTTTTGGCACCTTGAACTTCTTGGATGCTTAAGGAAGCTCAAGCAAGAGAGTTATGTGAAAGAGTATCGAGCGTAGCAGATGCCATTAGACTGCAAGGGATGTGATGATGGGAGTTAAAGCATAAGGGTTGGGCATTAGACAAATGTTCAGTAAGCACCAGATTTCAAGTATTGGAGGATTAAGATTCCTGTAGCATAATTTATCTCATTCTTCTGAACAATGGTTTTTGAATATCATATTAATCTCAAAATGTTTAAGAGATCTTTGGGTTCCTTTTCTGTTTTAAGGTAGATTGAGTATACATATTGTTCACCATGGTGAAAGATGCACAAGTTTATAAATGTTATATAGGTCTTGTTTAAGTCAGTCTTGCATTGTTAATAATGTTGGAAGTGGCCTTTTATGTAAATCTTTCTTAAATGTTAGGAGTGGTTTACTTTCTATGACCGTCATACCGTTCTTACCCAAAGATCTTGGTGATACCAGCATTGGTCCATTTGAAAAGAAAGAGAGGTTCAAAGTCCTCCATAGGATCAAGGAAAATGTGTATTGGATTCCAGAATCTGCTTGACACGTTTGTGATTGTTTAAAATTTTGGAGAGAGCTTCAGCAGATTCATGGATTGGACAAGGAAATAATATTATAGGCTGCACTCTTTACTTGTGAAACCTGCTTAATGATAAGTGTTCATGTAAACCATGCACCAAGCAGGTTGGTTCATTTTGTTTTATCTGATACACTTCTTAATAGGTTGAAATGGGAAATGATGGGCATCTCAGAAGGGCATTCTCCTACTTTGATAAAGATGGGAATGGCTTGATTGAACCTGAGGAAACTTTGTGAGGCCTTAGCTGAAGATGGAACTGCTCCTGATAGCATGGATGCTGCAAATGACATCTCACGAGAAGCTGACACTGACAAGGCAGCTATCTCAACTATCTCTGGTTACTACATCTTCATTCTCTCCATCACATTCATGCTAGAGTATTTATGTGATTGTAGGACGGGATAATCATGGCAACGATGAAAACTGGAACAGGTTGGAGGAAAGCTTCATGGCAACTGGATAAAAAAATGGATTGATTTAAAAGGACCCGACGGATATACAATTGTTAATGGGGGGCTTGAAGTAATCCAGATGCACAGTGATGATCATGGATTGGCTCGGAAGATGAATCCTGTCATCTTTAACTCTTCACTTTGGATTTTTGCTGCGATATATGCTAAATCAGACCATATTACTTTTCCTTATAAAGCACTGAACTTTTTTACTTCCAAGACCATATATTGTACCACATTGATGCTTATATAGCTTCGATCATAACATATAACCCAGCATGTGGAACTATGCAGATATCTATTTATCAAATCAGGTGCATGGAATTAATCCTTAAACAACCTGCTGCTGAAGTTTGAAGCAGAAGCTCTCATATGAAACTTTTGGAGTTGGGTCTGCGTCTCTTTCTGGTTAGTTCATCTAATTCTGAATCACTTCTCCCGGTATGCAATCCAACAGAATGACCCACAGAATTTGAATCTGCTTCCTTGCAGGAAATGCTTCCATGGTAGTACAGCTCCATCAACAGGTTTAGGCTCATCCCTTAAAGGCAGCCATTCTTCAAGCTTTTGTGCTTTCTAGGATACTGGTATGCTTGGCAGATCTGAAGTCAATGTCTCCATTGGTAGCAAGTTAGATCTTTGATTATGACGGACATTGTAGGGTAGTGTATAAGATGAGACTTCCTCGTATGAGTATATTCTTAGTACGATTCCCAGGAAAAGCAGCTGAAAGTTGACAGACTGCCAAAACAAAACCTACCACTTAAATTTGGTTGGTTCAGATTTCTTGACTCACATGCAATCTGACAATTTGTTCATGTAGTAAGGTTTGACTTGGTATGGTAGACCAATCTGAATCAGGTTCAGTATAATGTATCAGATCAGAGTTGGATTATTATGCTGCCTAAGAAACTCAATCAAACCAACAGTTTCCTAGTTCCTTGCATTTTGCTTTAGATAGTTCTTGAGATCTTTCAGAATGAGACAAAGCAATATATTGGGTGAAGAACTCTGTTATATCCTTTGATTGTTTGGTAATATGTTACATCCACTTTGAAATGAAAAGGCTGATTAGTGTCAAAGAATCACACCAAACAAAGTTTCAGAATAGTAAAATGCCAGCCAGAACGTGTTAGATTTATGAAAAGTGGAGGTCTATTATTGTCCTTTTCGAGACTATAAAACACTAGTCATAAATTATGTGAATAAAGTTGGAACCTTCCAAAGAATATGTCAGAGGAGCATATTTGAATTATTATCACCAAATTTTGAATTATTTTAGTTTGAGAACCTGGGTCCGGTCACCTCACAACAAGGCGGTGAACCTAACCTTACTTTATCTCCTCTTTGTGAAAAGCTAAAGTTTCATGGTCCCTCTTATACATGGAATTGAAACCCTATTTTATTCCATTTCCTGTCTTATAAGCACTCTCGCTTATGGAGAGAGCACTAATAGAAATTAGGATAACATTCTTTTTAAATTGATGAATTTATGTGCACATGCCAAACTACAAATATTTTACGGCGTGGGTTGCGTGACGCACCGGGCGGTGACCGGACCACAAGGGGAGGACCGGCGGGCATCAGAGAGGGAAAGCAAAGTATCAACGGCTCGGAAAAGCTCCGCTTCCCTTTCCCAATTCTAACTCACGTTTGATTCTATACCCGTGTGCTTACTCGCTGGACTGACCACAGTCATCGTCTCTAATGCATACGACAGAGCGGGTATGTCGTTAGGCATGTACGTTATAATTTTAGCTCAGAGAACAGATACGACCTGACCCAATCCGTTAGGCGTCGCATCGCACGTGGACCAACTTAACGAAGGTGGATCCGATGCAATGCTAGTTGTGCTGGTACATCCTACAATTCGTTCGTGGCAGTGCCTCATTTTTGATGAGGTTATGTGGGGATGGAGGTCGATAGTGAAAGATGGGTTCACTGCAGCGTGGCGAGAACACGATCCCGCCTTCCATCTTTCTCCGCTCTCTCCTCCCCCGTCGAAGGCAGCCTGCTGCTTCGAATCCTATGGTCCATGGCGGCGCCGCGGGTGGAGGATGTGATCGCCTTCCTCACGGCGCGCGGCTTCTCCGCCGCCGCCGCCGCCCTGCGCGACGACCTCCTCTCGAGCCGCTCCCCCGGCGACGCCGCGGGCGACCTCAACCTCGATCTCGACCTCGACGTCGGATCCGCGCTCCCGCCACTAAGGCTTCCGCCGCCGTCCCGTCGTGGAGGGGGCGAGGACGCGCTGCCCAGCGCCGCCTCCAGCTCCTCGGATGCGTTCCTCAGCCTCGGCTCTTCCCCATCTGGTACGCGATCCAGGGATCCTGGACTATGGTTGTTTCTTGATCTCGGCACCCGACGTCTCCCTTTGCTTGCTCACGGAAACCGATTTGCTGTGACTAATGCGCTGCTTTTGATGACCTCTCGATTAGAGAGTCGAATCGCTTATAAAGAATTTATCGTTTCCTGAAAGGATAAAAAACGCTTCTTTTTCGACAAATGAGTATTTAAACGTCAAATGTGAATGAAGTGCCATTGGGAAAGCCGAGCTGATTTGTACGCTTATCCTAAACTTTAGATGAAATTTTCAGTTCTCTAAGGGAAAAATGCATCTTTTTGTTAAACGAGTAGCTATAGATCAAATCTTGAATTGAGTTGTGATTCCTTCTCACTTAGATTTCCTGGAACAGAGCTTCTCAATCCCTATGGAGTCTGGTCACCAGGTCGAGCAAGATCGGATGACGAGTCAACCGATATGCACTCAGAATTTGGGACTGCCCGAGAGTATAATAGCTACTGGTATGATGACCAGTATGGAGGATCTCGCAATGATCATTTCTTTGTGAGGACCGACTCTGGCAGATTGCGTAGTGAGGACAAATTCATCATGTCCACAGAGGGGGAGGAGCAGTTGAGGAAGCGAGACAATCTTGATTTTTCAGCGAATGATCATAGGTATGAGCATGATGATGATGGTTGCGAAGGATGTGCTGAGATTTACAGCTCTCCGTTCCCTATTTGCGATTGCTGCCGTGGATCGAAGATGCATGACAATGACGAGGTTGCGGAAATGATTAGGAGCTCGAGTTCAGCTGTTTATGGCCGCTATCAGATATTAGATGACCAGACGGAGAGGTTGGATGAATTTGGGGAGGATGAGTTTCAATTGAGAAGGGTATCTGAGCAGACTGTGACTATTGTTTCTGCAAGTGATCTCTTTCATGACAGAATCCAACCTGAAGAGAAGGAAAGCCCCGAATTGGGTTTACCGGAGAAGGAACTGCGGATGCTTGATAATAATGTAGTTAATGCTAGTATCGATTCCACAAGTGAGTTTCTTATTTATTGCCTATATTCTTTTTTGGTAAATTTAATATGCTTATGACTTGATTTATGCATATGTGACAATTAATTTCTGATGAGAGCTCCAATTCAGCTTTATTTTTTGCTTCATTTGCAGTTTATTGAAAGGATTCAATCATAAAAAACTTTTGTTTCACTGTCTCCTTGTACATTATGTTGTGCCTTCGTTTCACTTTTCTAATGTGACAGCGCACGCATATCTAGAATCTCATGGACATGAGCATTGGCTTTGCTTATGTTTCATTTTCCAATTCCTGAATAGAAATTTTTCAAGAGGTTCATCCTGCATGACAGATTAGTGAGGATGTTACTGTTTAATGCTTATATGTACCCAGTTTTGCTGCATGTCTACCAAAAAATATCCTAAAAACACTATACTGTTTGTCTTGTGAGAACTTCTATTAAGATCTCTTGCATTATATCTAAACACAATCAGAGCATGAGTGCTATTGTTTTTTTTGTTCCATGTGAACTTGTTGGTTTTTGCAGTTCTAATCATCATGAAAGTTTGTTTCTGAATGCAGACTGTAATCTTATATGCAATAAAGATCCCAAGGGAGATTCATACAATAAAGAAGTAATTTTTGTCAATGAGACGGATGAGGAGGTGCTACAAAAAAGAAATTACAGTACACCACCATTTGAAGAGAAAGCTTTCAAACAAGGTGCTAATGATGCCTGTGGATTCAATGATTGTGGAACAATTGATAGAGAATTCCAAGACAGTGGAACCGCTGACCTTAAAGGAGAGGATGATATTAACGATGACGTTCATCTTTACAGTACTTGTGAGGATGAGCTGGAAGTTTTCGACTTGAGAATAATTCATCGTAAAAACAGGTTAAGAATCACATTTTCTTCCTACAAATTTTGGCATAACATAGCGAACAAATAAAGAAAAAACTATTGTGCTGATATTCTTAGGTGATCAACTACAGGACCGGCTATGAGGAAAATAAAGATTTTCCAATTGTTTTGAAGTCAGTTGTGGCAGGCAGATATTATGTCACAGAGTATCTTGGTTCAGCTGCATTTAGCAAAGTTGTTCAGGCACATGATCTCCACACAGGAATGGATGTGTGCCTTAAAATAATAAAGAATGATAAGGATTTTTTTGACCAGAGTTTGGATGAGATTAAACTCCTCAAGCATGTTAATAAACATGACCCTTCTGATGAGCACCACTTATTGCGCCTTTCTGACTACTTCTATCATCAGGTATGTATTATCTGGTTTTATATTTTATCTCCAGCTTGCCATCAAACTCTTGTTTTTCCTTGTTCCTTATGGCTATCATATTCACATCTCACTCAATAAAAATCATTTGTTCATATTCCTATCTAGATAATGATGAAGTTTCTTTTACAGTTACATTAGTCAGTTATCGTGGATGTTCTAACCTGATCTGAGTTGCAAACCATTATGGACTGTCGTTGCATATCTTACTTCACGTAAATTGTTAATTCATAGAACTGAATATGCATGGTTTACAGGCCCAAATATGAAAGCTTACCTATCAATGGTGCAAGAAGCACATTGAGTTGAACCACCTGTGTAGTGGACTACATGCCATACATACTTCTTACTAGGGAATGATTCTGGAAAATGTTTTGGACCTTGGACCTTGGACCTTGATGTGGATGTCAAATATATGATCATGGGAAATTGTAACTTCTTGATTGGTCTCACATCAAAAGTTCAACGAAGAATGTCGCATGGTACATATGGTTAAATAGGTCTACCACTAATAACTTGGACTAAAACATATATTTATGGTTCTAGACCTCTAAGTTATTAGGCTGGTCGGTTTATCGAGCCAGGTCATGATAGAGCAAGCATGATAAATGCTTGTATTTTTTGAGCATCTAGATTCTTAATGTAAACCTGAAACATAGAATTTTCAAAATGACAAGCTCTTGTGACAATGAGATCCCACTGACCATTTACTTTATCCCATTATCCAGTACAGAAGAAGACCATTAAGGATAATCTCCACAAAGGACCTCAATGATCATCGAGTAAGCTAAGGTTCTGTTGCTAGAATCCAAAGGATACCATGCCCTAACATCAATTCATTCCTTTCAAGGATTCAACAGGATATCTAATTTTTCCAAGAACTGGTGCCAAATCTCATTGATGCAGTCCATATTACTGCACCATCATATGAAACTAATACTTATATATTTTGATATGGATTTGGATGAATTTATTGACTTTTGAGTCTTTGGACTTTAAAGATAGCAATATTAATTTTCATTGAGTGGTCAGGGAAGAACTTCTCTCCTAGACTGCTTTGAATTCATTATGTAATTTCTTTCATATGCTTTCCAAATTGGTACTCAAATATCTGAAATTTTTATCAATAAAATTTTCACATTTATGAGTTGGTTCTGGTTTTTCTTCGCATTCTGTATATACGTGTTCTTTTTTAAAATTGGTTATAACCTTGGGAAGCAAACATATCATTGTGATACACTAATTCTAGTTGATAGAGAAAGTGTACTGACATCAATAATTAAATGTTACAGGAACATCTTTTCATTGTCACAGAATTGCTCCGATCCAACCTGTATGAATTTCAGAAATATAATCGTGAATCTGGCGATGAAGAGTATTATACATTGCCCAGAATACAGGTATATCATTGACTCATTGTAATTCATGAAAAGAAGTATGGTATTTAGTCGCAATTAGGGAACTATGATTGGTATAAGGAATGACAAAGAAAGCACACAGTGTACTGTCAAGGGAGTTTGCATCGTATTTCTGGTCTTGTACCAAAATGGATTTCTTTCAATAGAATGCACACACTTAAATCTTGTCATTAAGATCCATATCATGCAAGCCCTTTCATGGGAAAATTTCATTGAAGATTAAACTCTTGTTTCTCAAAACACCTCTCTCTCTTGTGTCAGTGATTGCCTTCTCATTTTAAATTTCTCTTGTTCCTATTGGTAGGAAGAAATTGTGATGTTAATAATTGTTATTTATTTCATTGATATTGGATTAAATATATTATCCTCCTCTTGCAGGCTATAGCTCGACAATGTCTGGAGGCATTGGAGTTCCTGCATCATTTAAGGATAATTCATTGTGATTTGAAACCTGAGAATATTCTTATCAAGAGCTATAGCAGATGTGAAATTAAGGTTATTGACCTTGGAAGCAGTTGCTTTGAGACAGACAACTTATTCTTATATGTCCAGTCTCGTTCTTATAGGGCCCCTGAAGTTATTCTAGGACTCCCCTATGATCAAAAGATTGATATATGGTCTCTTGGTTGCATCCTGGCTGAGCTTCACACTGGTGATGTAAGTTCCCATCTTATCTTATTTAAGCTAAATCTTTAGAATATAATCTTCTTTATTTATTGGCCAGGTCCATATTCAAGTATGGCAGCTGTTTAAAAGTTATAAGTTCTTGAAACAATGCAATTCAAATTTCAGCATGTTTCTACCAATAGGTTGTTTCTTGTTTATGATAAGGTCGATCCTATTCTACCTAGGTTAGTAGGTGATTGAAGTATTTTTACTGCAGAGGCAAAGCTGCTTCTATTGACCTTCTCCGGATCCTGCATTTCCCTTAGGTTGTTTCTTGTTTGCCTTTACTAAGAAGCAATAGTTAATGTTTCATGAGTCTAGCATCCGAAAAGAAGTCTGATTGAGAGCTTCAGAGCCAAGCATTGTTAAATTATCATTGTGCATTTAATTCCTACAAATGGTTTAAAGAGTGTCATTATCATTCTAGATTACATAGCCTTCGGTTTGGAGGCTTCCCAGTGTTTTTAATAGGTGCTTTAGCACTCGCCTAGGCACTCATGGGAGGCAAGGCGAGACCCGAGTGCCTCACACAACTCCAGGGCAACACGCTTCATTGAAGCGCCACTTGGGCGCTCGCTTGAGCCCAAGCTCAAAGCGCCTCTAGCAAGTGCCTGAGTGAAAGTGACATGTGCTAGAGCCTGGTTCGATTTAATAGGTTCATGCGTTTAATTGAACCGACTAAAGAGAAGAGCCCTAACATTAAACCACACCCCCCCTCCCCCCGCATGCTCGACCCAACTTTGAAACCCTAAACCTTACTTTCGTCGCTATTGCTTTCGTGTGCAACTCCCTCCACTGCCATTGCCTTCATGCATAACTCCCTCCACCACCATTGCTTTCGTCCGAAGCTCCCTCTACCTTCACACGCAGCTCCCTCTACAGCTGACGCCTTCATTTGAAGTTCCCTCTACTGTCGATGCCTTCGTCCGAAGCTTCCTCTGCCACTGTCACCTTTGTCTGAAGCTTCCTTTGCCGCCACTACCTTTGTTCGAAGCTTCCTCTACTATCGCCACCCTCTTCTTCCCCACCTTTCTCCATAGTGTCACGGACAAAATTCTAAATAGGATGTTTGATGTAATGCTTATGTATGTCCATATCTTTTGGTATATTCATGCTTTGCACAACATGTAGAGGGACGGTCGAAGGCTTAACAACCCCATTTTAGTTGGGTTTGATAGTCGTTTTAGGCTTGTAAATAAAGGTTGTGTCATATGGACAATTGTGAGAGATATTCGATCTGTAGTGGACCATTTTAACCCTTTGTTGTGCAACCATTCAGAACTTGTAAAGTCTATTTGTAATTTACATTGTCTATGTACTGTTTTTTGAAATGTTTGCTTGTGGATCCCGAGTGAGGTGCTTTTCCTAACCTATTTTCTCTTTTGTAGGTCCTAAGGGATCATGGGAGGTTTTAGAGAGGCCGACCTTTGCGGACGGACACGCAAGGGTGCCGCATGACTTAGGCAAAACTAACTAAGTCCGTGACAGATGGTAACAGAACAGGATAAGCACTCATAAAAACGCTTGGTATGCAAACATGGGGGACCTAGCTGGGTTGCATTTAGGGCAGTCAGCACGCACGACCGTTTGGGGGAAAACGGGTATGGAGATGTAGGGAAAAGGAGTCGCTCGGAGGAGTAGGCATATGAGATTGGCATTCAGAGGAATAGCCAACCCTTCGCGCAAGAGATACCACGAGAACAAGTAAACTTAGAAGAATGCATAGCCCACAAAGGTTGGGATGGCTGAGTTCGAGCTGCGGCTCGACGTTGACAACTATACTTGATGGTGTTCAAGACGAGTGAGGCGCTTAGTAAAGGATGAGACCATGCAAAGTGGAATGGGTTGCTCAGCGACCGAAAGAGTTGTGTAAAGCTCATAGAGGTGAGGGGAATTGCTAACTCGAAGAATTCAATACTCATGCAAGGGCTTCTATGCGGACGATGGAATGTTCGCGGCCATCCCAAGGCGACCGAAACTTGGCGCCATGGAGCATTGAAACGTTCTCTTCGGCATGAGAAGGATACGTCCGTAGGAGACTGAAGTGTGCAGCGAGTTCAGCATGTTGCTAGGCCTTGAGTGGTGCAGCGGGGGCTGTATTGACGTGGAGTCGCAATCTAGCAAGTGCGTTTGCAGAAGGCAGAACAATGCACAGTTTGTTTAGCAAGTCGGAGTAGTCCAAGGGGATGGTGGTCTCCGAAGCTTTCAGAGGGAAGGAAACGAAGAGAGATGTTATTCCAACGGGATAGATACCCAGGAGGGATAAGTCTCGGCTCTCTAGAGAGAGAATCACGTGCAACATACCGCACATGTTGAGGAGTACCTCAAAAACAACAATTCCACGAAGCTCAATAGACCGAGTGAGTGGCGATGAGTCGTCGCATGATCTCGCTTGAGAGAATATATTGGTGGATGCATTGCGAGATCAAGTGGGGGAGCGACCTAAGGCAACACAAATGAAGGCACACTTGGAGTCGATATGAAGATCGGACTCAATGGAGGGCTGACCCGTGGAATGGTGGGCGCGAGAGCCACCATCAACTCAATGCAAAACGAGGAGCGGAGCAACTGGGGTGTAACTTGGCGAAGCACCCATGTCACATGAAGGGAGCCGGCATAGAAGATAAAACATGGAGCGGAGGCACAGAGCTTTCCTTGGACAGAGGTCAAGGACGTGAACTCTTGCAGAGGTAAGAGAAAGATCATGTCGTTCCACGGGTCCTTCATTCTGATGGAACGGGCTCATCCTGCATAGTGCCAAAGACAAAGGGAGCTTCGAGGCACATACACTTTACCTCAGAGAAGCATTTGACGGAGGAAATGAGGCGACGCAACTTACGGAGGCGAAGTTGGGATCAGAAGGCCTTGGCACAGTGCAAGCGGACGCGGAGGCGGGTACTCTTGAAGAATATGTCGCAGTGCTGCCATTCAAGTTGCCATGAAGGAAGCGGTGCGCAACGGAGATTGTGCTTGTAGGGGGTAGAGGCCCAGGATCCAGACAATGGTGCACCATTTTCAACGAAGTCGGTAGACTTCGGGGGCTACTAGGCGACGGACTGTCCTAGAGCGGTGCTTCATCTAGGTGTTACCTAAGAGCGGGTGGATAAAGGTCGATTGCCAAAGGAGCGAATACAATCAAAGGTGGAAGAGGCCCTACGATATGTTGGCAGAGGCCACACATGGAGGGATCGCAATCCGAGTTCATCCTACAATAATCAGAATGCAATAGAGATGTCATCAGGAGGTGACATGGTACAGCGGATCATAGTGGAATAGTTCGTGACAATGCGATACACACAGATTGTAGCCCGGTGAGGAATTATATCATACGAAGGTATGATCGGGAGCTACTGGGAGCTCTACTTCGGTGAACAACACGATAGTAAGAAGGGCTATGGATTCAAATAGTGAAGGCCATGATACCATAGAGGCGGGTCTTCCGTACGTACATCGAATTTTGCATCGAATGAAAGCCTTAGTCATCAACATATGGGGGCTATGTACCACCGAGGGAAAAGTTCGAATGCAAGTACCAGTGAGTCCTATGGGAGGGACTTGATCATGCAGAGGTATGATCGAAGTAGCTGGAGAGTTGGATTGCTCCAGAGCCTATATTCGCTTAAGGGAGCCCAACAAGTCAGAGGACAAGGTCGAGTAAGTGAACGTTGCTACCAAGGAAGTTAAGGAGAACAAAATCGGTGCAAACTCTACAACATGATAGCAAAAGCCATGTATAGGAGTTAAAGTCTGTCTTTCCATTGACCAAAGGGGAACTGCTTGGAGAATACAGAGGTTTTGAAGCAGGGGGTCGAAAGGGGCGAGGAAGCGACGATGAGTCCAGAGGGACTTAGCTGCCCAAAATCAAGCATATGTTAGAATGGAGATGCACTCGAAGGAGTACCACAGTGCCTCAGAGGCAGATCTACCGATCATGAAGAAAGAGATGCAGATGTCAGGCAACGGATAGTAGGGCCATGGGTATGGTAGCGCCATAGTACCGTAGAGGCGAGACTTCCGTGAAGTCATCGATCCCTTGCTCTCATGGAGAGAGAGCGCTTGGTTGTGAAAGAGGCCGAGGAGGTGCAGCATGCAGAGGCAAACTCCAAGTATCGAGACAAGGCTGAAGGGCAGAGGCCAAGGAACTGTCTTGTAGCTGTTAGGATCGAGAGCACTAAGA